TCTCTCTCTCCCTCTCCCTCTCTCTCTCTCTCTCAAACACACGCACTATTTCTGTTTGTTGTATGCATGTTTATACTATACATGCATACATGCACATACGTACACATTCGCTCTCTCTGTCTGTCTATCTATCTATCCCGGATTTCCTCTTATTTAATCTCTCTCTCTCTCTCTCTCTCTCTCTCTCTCTCTCTCTCTCTCTCTCTCTCTCTCTCTCTCTCTCTCTCTCGGAAGAAAGAAGAAAAAAAGAAATGTAACAGAAAATAGGAAAGTGGAAAAGAAATGATTCACTACGCTTTTTTATAGAGGTGTGATAATACAGGAATTATTTCAAACGGTTGTCAGAGCGCCATCCTGCAAGAATGTGGTATTAATTGGATTGTCTAAATCATTCAAGGGAAAAGAAATGAAAAATAATAAAGATAAGAAATAATAAAAATATATAAATAATGAACAAAAAATATATAATAATGAAAAATCAACTAGTTCTTGGCCAGTTTTACAAAAAAATCAATACAGTGTTTCGGAATATGTGAGTGAGCGAGACTCCCCTTCAAAGAGGACGGGAAAATACAACGTTTTTATTTATATAATAAAAATATATAAATAATGAAAAAAATATATAATAATGAAAAATCAACTAGTTCTTGGCCAGTTTTACAAAAGAATCAATACAGTGATTCGGTGTTTCGGAATATGTCAGTGAGCGAGACTGCCCTTCAAAGAGGACGGGAAAATACAACGTTTCCAGACTGCATACAGAAAACACAAAAAGAAAATCAAATACAAAAAGAAAACCGGAAGTGATATTTTTTTTTCAGGGGAGGGAAGGTAATAACGAGAATTGATGTAGAAAATGCAATTAGTTTTACTGATTGGGATAATCAATACAATCTGTTTCTTATTCTTTAATCCGATGCTACTAATGACTAAGGGAAGTGTTACAGAATCACAAAAACCTAAATGCACAACTTCAAGCTATCACTGAAAGTTTACAGTTCAAAATGAACATATATTGCCACTCATAACATTTAATCATTAATCACATAATTGGCTTGAGTTATCAACTATCGAAAACTAAATTGATTAACTGCAGTCATCAGTATTTATTGTTTACTGAACGATACAATTTGAGTACTGCACATTGTGAAAAAAAAACATGAAATGGTGTCTTTTGAAGAGAGCACATCATAATTATTAAAACAAATTAATAGGTAAGGAACTTCTTTGCTTCTCGTATCGTAATACTAAAGACTTCAAAGGAAAACTTATGTATAGATAATATTAACGTTAGAAATCATGTAATAACTGCTGCTGTTGAAACTAGTACTATTGTTATTATTATTGTTTTAATAATACTAACACTATTACTACTACTAATACTACTACTACTACTGTTGCTACTAATACTATCACCACCACAATCATCACCGCAACAGCAGTAGTAGTAGTAGAAATCTAACTGTCAAGAAAATTGGAAAGGAAATCATTCACATAATGTAGAGTAATGAACAGATCTAGCTAACTAGCTAGCTATCTGTCGATCTATCTGTCTGTCTGTCTATTTAACTATCTCTTTCTCTCTTCCCCTCTCTCTCTCTCTCTCTCTCTCTCTCTCTCTCTCTCTCTCTCTCTCTCTCTCTCTCTCTCTCTCTTTCTTTCTCTCTCTCTCTCTCTCTCTCTCTCTCTCTCTCTCTCTCTCTCTCTCTCTCTCTCTCTCTCTCTCTCTCTCTCTCTCTCTCTCTCTCCTGAAAACTGTTTACTAAGTTACTTAGAGTGATATAGATGACTTGTGTAAAATTCACATTGAACCACAAACACCGCAAGTTTATGAAGACTAAATAAAACGACACACTATAGATAACACTTTCCACTGATGAAGGTAATGTTGAATACATATTAAAAAGACATTTACGTGTTCATTTTTTATTTTGAAGCTTTAGAAGACAGTAGAAAGTGTTTAGCTTCATTTATCCTTTATTCCAGAGGAACATCGGTTAATAAAACAATTTTGAGAGGGGCAAGCAGCATTTCCCCCCCCCCCCCCCGAGTTTCGTGTAATGTGTAAATACCACAGTGATTAAAACTTACCTATTCCCTCTTCTCACAGGAGAGGGGTGGGGAGAGGGGAACTCCCGGATTTCCTCTTGTTTAATCTCTCTCTTTCTCTCTCTCTCTCTCTTTGTCTATCTATTGATCTGCGTACTTATCTATCACTTTCCTCCCTCCTTGTTTTTTGTCCTTTCCTGTTTTTGTCCTTCCCTATCGTTCTTCCTGTTATTTAGAGTAAACATCCTGACGCCTCTATAGAACGGATATTGGCTCAGGGGATAAGGACACATTCTACCGGTGTTCACACACACACACACACACACACACACACACACACACACACACACACACACACACACACACACACACACACACACACACATATGCACATATTCCCATACATACATGGTGTTCCGACCCAAATCAGCACGGCTTCCAGACCGAGAACTAGACTCCAAATGACTTAGGTTCGGACTCCAGTCTCTGCGGTCCACTTGAAAGAATTTCGATGTCCGAACTTTCCTTTGGTGGATACTGAAGTAGTAGACATTGTAATGGAATTGATCATTGTACAGAGACTGGCCGGGATTTAAATAGCAGCCTCTAACATCCTCTTGGACAGTAAAGGCTGTTTTTTTCAATATCTATCGTGATTGAAACAGGGTTGGTTATGGTGTCAATGGGAATGGAGTTGAGGTCTCCACCAATCTTTTACCGGGTAGGAGAGCACCAACGGATGGGTAAAACACGCCATTGTTGTATTCGGAGACTACACAGCTGCACAAAGTCATGAAGGCCCGCCGGCGAACCAATGGTGTGCTCAGCTGACTTCCGTTTCATAGTTCAAATTCCCGGAGTAATAAAATTGAACAAATAAGTCAACAAATACAAGAATACCTGTCTTTGGGTCTGAGTGACTGCAGACACTCAACCTCTGCTTTTCCCGGGGGGGGGGGGGGGGGGGGGGTAAATGGGGTTCAGCCATTTATCGATTCTTTCATGACCGGCATGGACTTCGGCGGCGCAGTCCTTCTCTTTGAACCCGAAGTAAATCTTACCTGCAATATGTTTCAACTTTCCTCTATAAGTCTTCATGCGGGCGACGGCGGAGGAGGAAAAATCACGAAGTAAATCCTCATAGGTGAGATTCGAGCACGGGGTCAAGAGGCAGTTAAAATCCTGGGAGCGTATTGCTCCAATGCGTTGAATCACAAACATAGATGAATGTTGGCATACAAACCGCAAGCGCCTCGTCGGGTAAGAGGAGCGAGGACCGGAGATGATGAAGTCGATAGGTTAACCTGAGATTAGCGCTCTGTTGTCTGGATCGACCTGGAAGCTGCATGACCTCAGTCCGTACCGTAGTCTAAGAGCCGACGTCTGGGGTCACTTCATATTCTAGGCCTTATTTTATTTCTTCAATATGTCTAATCTCTTTGTTATGATGTAAAAATATTAACTTTGCATAATTGTGCTGTATTTCCCTTTGTAACACAATGTTTTATTATACCTAGCATATTTCTTTTTAAGTAAATAGTATTTACCATACACTATTGTTTATTTTTCACATGGCAGTGATATTTCGTTTTGGTTTAATATCTGTCGGCGATGAGTTCGTTCGTCCAAATGGTTGTCGGCGATATAGCAGTCCGGCCGAAAGTCCTTTGGCCAGTTGTTTCTCGGTGAAAAGGAATTCGCCGAACAGTCCACTCACGATATACATAGATAGGTAAATAGATAAAGAGCTTATTCTGATATACTTTCCATCAAACCTTAAGAATACAACAAGACCCTTAAAGGACTTAGGTCCCTTAAAGGACCTAAGTCCTTTAAGGGACCTAGTCCTTTAAGGGTCTTCTTGTATTCCTTTTCCTCTTTCCTTCTTCTCCCTCTCCTCCTCTCCCCTATCTCCTCCTCCCTCCCTTCCTCTCTTCTTCTCCTCGCTCCCTCTCCCACTCTTCCTTCTCTCCTTCTCCTCCCTTCTTCTCCTCCTCTTCCTCTCTCATTTTCCTCCCTCCCTCCCTCTCCTCCTCTTCCTCTCTCCGTTTCCTCCCTCCCTCTTTCTCTTCCTCTTCCCTCTCTCCTCCTGTCTCCCTTCCTCTCCTCTTCTTCCTTTCTCCTTCTCCTTCCTCTCTCTCTTCCTTTTCCCTCTCTCCTTCTCCTCCCTCCCACCCTCTCTTCTTCTTCCTCTCTCCTTTTCTTTCCTCCCTCCTCCTCCTCTTCCTTCTCTCCTTCTCCTCCATCCCTCCCTCCCCTCCTCTTCTCTCCTTTTGCGTCCCTCCCTCCTTCTCCACCTCTTCCTTCTCTCCTCCTCCCTCCCTTCCTCTCCTCCTCTTCATCTCTCCTTCTCCTCCTCTTCCCTTTCTCCCTCTCCTCCCTCCCTCCCTCCCTCCCTCGCCTCCACTTCCCTATCTCTCTTTTCCTGTTATATAGAGTAAACAATCTGATAGTTATTGGCTCAGACAGGTCGAGGCATCCTTCAGCTGTGTGGCGGCGCAGCGAAGTGGCAAGTGACCAAAGACCGCTGCCATTACGTCTACCTCCCACCTACGAATAACAAGACGCTGAGTGTTAATTTCTTGTCAAACCAATCCTTCGTTCCTAAGCTTATTCACGAAAATTTTGAGGCAAAATTGGTTCGTCGGAATGGCGAGGTGGTTTTTGTGGAGAACGAAACGTGTAGCGGATGCAAACCCCTGTATGGTGAAGACAATGTCCTGCGCTTCCCTTTGCCCGTAAGCAGCCAGGTAAGATCTCGATAACTGTCTTCTTGTAAGTCTATTAGCCAACGCCTTTTCCCTCTTAAACTGATGAAACAGGAAAAAACCATCCTGGGAGCAAAGCCCTCCTTCGGAACATGCAAACTTTTGGTACTAATGTATCGCAATTCTGTGACGACATTTTACCATTTCGTTGAGCAATAGACTCACAGCTCCCGCACTCCCTCACAGATGGCGGGGAAGGCGTTTCCTCGTGCGGTGACGGTGTGTTCGTTGTCAGGAGAATCGTTCATCGTCAGTATGACCCAGACACAGGAAGGTGTTTCTTACTTCGTGAGTAAGTGACAAAATATTTTCCGTAGCATTCACTCAGACCTAAAGACACTCATCCTTGTATTTGTTGATTTATTTGTAGACACTTATTATATTGTATTTATGCGCTTATGTCTACACAAATCAATAGATAAGAAGAATATATATACATATATATTTATATCCTTTAACAGAACCCAAGACTTCCGACCAAAATGCTTACATAATGATTCTGATGGTTGTGGTGGTGACACTGACTCTTCTGCTTACGACGGCGTGCTGATAAAATAAGGTATGTGGAATTACTTATCGGACCCTAATTTGTATAAACATTTCTATAAGCATCTTCAGGAACGCTTATTTACGGATATCTTGAAGAGTGTTTTAACGAATACCGAGTCTGATTGGTTGATGCCAGCTAGCCAATCGTTCTACGCGCTTTTTTTAACATAAACTGAGGCCAAATTCAGCTTTCTGCGACGAATAGCACAATTTCATATATTCAGATCCAGTCTCTCTAGATTTTTTTTCTAGACACGTTTTGTTGTTAGTTTGAAGCCCCTTTTAGTGCATCTGTTGATTTGTATCCAAGAAAATGAGTATCACCCATACATACATTTTTACAAATTAATGTGTGTGTGTATATATGTATATATTATATGTGTGTGTATACGTATGAGAGAGAGAGATATGTATATATACACGCACACAATATACACAATAATGTGTGTGCGGGTGTGTGTGTGTGTGTGTGTGTGTGTGTGTGTGTGTGTGTGTGTGTGTGTGTGTGTGTGTGTGTGTGTGTGTGTGTGTGTGTGTGTGTGCGTGTCTTTGTATATAGAGTGTTTTCACGTGACGTCACCAATCTCGCGTCGGCCATATTGGAGGCATTGGAGGGAGACGTAGACTCAAACATTCGCAAAGTTCGTTGGCAAAATGGTGAATTACTGTCGTGTCTCTGGCTGTCATAGTAGGCAAGATCGAGAATCACACCTTCAATTTTATAGACTGCCCAAGATAATTCGAAAACAAGGAGAAAATACTCTGAAATTGAGCGAGGAACGACGGCGTCATTGTCGTTCACGCCTTCAGCAGAACTTTCAAGGGAAAAACTTGTATAACATCAGAGTTTGCTCAAACCATTTTGTGTCAGGTAATCATGAATTTTCATATTTTGTTTACAATATGTTTATACACAATATGACAAACATTTAAGAAACTGTTAAAGAAAGTTACTATTAGAAACTGGTTAATATGAAGAAACCATAGGCCTATCAGGGGTTCCTTCTAGGCGTAAACAAGGCCAAAGCCAAAATTCTAAGATCAACCCTAAAATGGTAATGTATTTTTTCAAAAGCCCCCTAATGGTAGCATAATGAGTAAAATTAGGAGGAGGAAGCTCCAGTCAGGTGACAAGTCGGCCACGTCGGAGGGGTCTTCGCCGAATATTTCGATATTCCTGTAATACCTATCTTTTTCAATAGGTTCGAGACCTCTGTACATTTTTGCAGTATCTAATTGCTTCCTAACTGTCTTAGACATCATATTTTCTTCGAGATTCAATTTAAAAACGCGCGTACAACCAACCATTCCAGAACTCACAACTCGGCGTACCTCCAATATGGCCGCGCATCCGGGAACTCTTGCCGATAATGACGTCAGTGAAAACACTCGATGCATCTCTCTCTCTCTATCTCTCTCTATCCCTTTTTCTCCTTTTCTCTTTCTCTCTTTCTCTCTTTTTCTTTCTTTCTCTCTTTCTTTCTTTTTCTCTTTCTCTCTTTTTTGTCTTTCTCTCTCTCTCTCTCTCTCTCTCTCTCTCTCTCTCTCTCTCTCTCTCTCTCTCTCTCTCTCTCTCTCTCTATCTATCTCTATCTCTATCTCTCTCTCTTTCTCTTTCTCTCTCTCTATATATATGTGTGTGTGTATGTATATATACATACAAAAATGCATATATATATATATATACATTTATGTGTGTTTGTGTGTGGGGGGGTGTATTCATACATGCATATGTATACATAAGTATATATATATAATTATATATATATGTGTGTGTGTGTTTGTTCGTGCATATGTATGTATCTATATATATATGTATATATATATATATATATATATATATATATATATATATATATATACATATGTATGTATATATATATATATATATATATATATATATATATATATATATATATATATATACATGCATATATATACTTACAGACAGTTACATATATTCATATATATATTATATATATTTATATATGTATATTATATGTATTCATATATATACACACATATTTATATATATACGCATACATATATATACATACACACACACATATATGTGTGTGTGTGTGTGCGTGTGTGTCTATAACTATATGCACGTATATGTGTAAGTATGTATATCTATCTATATATTTATTTATCTATATATATACATACACACACGCACATATATATATATACTTACACATATATACATTCATATATATATACTTACACACACACACATATATATATACATATATGTGTATGTGTGTGTGTGGGGGGGGGGGTTTATGTATGTATTTATGAGTGGTAAAACACTCTTCCGTAGAAAAAAAACTGTTGTCTCATATTCAGTATATCTAGTTTTTGCATTGTGGGTTTTCTAATATATATATATGTGTGTGTGTGTGCGTGTGCGTGTGGGTGTGTGTGTATATATAGATAGATAGATAGATAGATAGATAGATATATTCGAACTGCACGAGTATGCAGCCACATCGGCTCGTGTTCCCAGGTCCCAGAGTGAACGGCGACAGAGCAGGCGGAAGGAACTCACGTCGGCGAGGAAGCGCCTTCTTCGTTCAGCTCCGAAGATCCTCAGAAGCAGCCCGTCCGTTGCTCCGAGGAATCTGCCTCGGAAGAAACTTATTGCCGACATCCACGCGTTGTTATTGGCTGGGAAAAGGGGTCGGTTTGCGGCGAATCAAGTGTCTTTGACCGATCTGGAGGCGGACCAGTTTCTTGTGTCTTTGAGGATCTTGTTTTGTTTATTTGTCTGATTCTTGTATTGTTTTTTGTTTGTTTTTGTCAATTCAGCTGCATTGCAATGTATTTTCTTCTTATTAAGAAGGGAAATTCTAAAGATTTGTTGAAAAGAAAATGAGTTTATTGTTTGTGGCGTTTCAAATATCTTTGATTTTATCATCATGTATCAGGAATGTAAAATAGGAAAGTTTAGCGTCTATTTTGGTAAATACAGTATGCTATTCTGTACCATCCAGGTCGTGTGTTTTCCAAAGCTTGTGTAGAATGATAACGTTTGATTATTTGATCTGTTACTTTTACCCTAATGCAGAATAAGATTTTTAAATGCTAATCACAATCAATACTACGAATGATTGACTATGATAAAAGCATTTTAGGGGGAAAGTAATGCGCATATAAGGTTTTATGATTAACTATTCTTTTCCATGAGTGAATATCTACCACATACTCTGTTGGTAAAATCATGATTAACCCTTATTTTATGATAACAATACTACTACTACTAATAATAATAATAAGCATGGTGATAATGATAAAAATAATGATAACAGTAACAAAGATAATGATAATATGGATAATGATAATAAGTCGACAAAACGTCTACAGAAAAGATCATGGAAACCTGTGGCACCGTAACATAATGCAAAGCGAAGATACGAAGTTCCTCGTTCAGCCTTCCTGTGCCAGTAGCTCTTTCCCACCGATAATCAAACCTGCCGTGAAGTAATTAGTCAACATGTCTGACTGAGAGGAAATGATCATGGAAATGCAACATTAGCTGCATCAGGGGAAGCCCTCGTTATTGTCTTGTTTTTTTTTTTTGTTTTTTGTTTTTTGTTTTTTGTTTTTTGCTTTTTTTTCATTTTCTTTTTGTCATTTCAGTTCTATTCCTTTCACAAATAACACAAGCTCGTAAATCACCCACGCGGCCTTGTAACCTATTCAGAAGCTACATAAGGTCCATTATCATAGGAATTTTTTTAGATGGACTTATCATATATAGATTTCAAAATATTAATTCGGTAGAAAAAAAAACACAGAATATTTGTAATAATGCTCATAGACTTTTATTCTTTTTGCACACACTTATGTTTGTATCTGGAAATAAAGGCTTGATAAGAGTAAACAATAAAACACCAGGCTGAAAATAAACCGGCAAAAAGAAGAAATAAAGTTTTTGTTCACGTAATTTAACGTTAATAAGTCAATCAAGCAACTCATTTCTTGCATTGTTTTTTTTTTTTGTTTTTTGTTTTTTGCTTTTTTTTCATTTTCTTTTTGTCATTTCAGTTCTATTCCTTTCACAAATAACACAAGCTCGTAAATCACCCACGCGGCCTTGTAACCTATTCAGAAGCTACATAAGGTCCATTATCATAGGAATTTTTTTAGATGGACTTATCATATATAGATTTCAAAATATTAATTCGGTAGAAAAAAAAACACAGAATATTTGTAATAATGCTCATAGACTTTTATTCTTTTTGCACACACTTATGTTTGTATCTGGAAATAAAGGCTTGATAAGAGTAAACAATAAAACACCAGGCTGAAAATAAACCGGCAAAAAGAAGAAATAAAGTTTTTGTTCACGTAATTTAACGTTAATAAGTCAATCAAGCAACTCATTTCTTGCATTGTTTTTTTTTTTTGTTTTTTTTGTTTTTTCTTTTTGTTTTTCCTCAAACCCAAAGAATATAAGGACTTACTTTAAGGGACTTACCCCTCACCTCCAAGTCTTGCCCAAAAGAGTCCTAACTACGCCTCTGCGCCCATCTATCAATCTTCTCTCTCCTCCGCTTCCCTATCTCCCTCTCCTCCCCTTCCCTATCTTTCTCTTTTCCCGTATAATAATCTAAACAGTCTGGCGGCTATTGGCTCAGAGCACCAGGCCGGGACATCCTGTTGGTAGATCCGGGAAGCCAACTAATTCCTTGCAACACGAACCTCAAACACGCAGTAGTCTCGTGCCAGTGCCTTCGCTCGCTTCCCTGGCGAGAATAAAACAGTCATGCTGTGGCTCATGTGCTTGGGCCTCCTGCTGGTCTTCCAGGCCGGTGCAGTCCGCGTGGAGGAAGGTAAGGTTCATTTTAGCCGAACATTACATGTGGATCTGTAACAATGCAACTTTGCATGGAGAATGATATATGGAGATTTTGGTCGTTTTACACATGCTTTCCATTATTGCAGTCCCTTCCTTCCAGTTATAGTTGCTTCTGATATAGTATCTACTTTTCATCCTTTGTAGATTGTTTAGTCCAGGATCGGCTTCTCATAAAGATATCAAAACCCGGACAGGCTTCCTTTTTTGCCTACGTCCAACACATTGGCTTTATATTCACGGCAAGACTAATGTGTGCTGCACCACAACAACGCATCACCCTCAATGTTACTACTCGAGACGTCGTTTGGGAAGATGATTTTGCAAAACCCAAGAAACCAGAAAGAAGAAAGTCCCCGACATCTAAAGAGGGATGGATGGAATTTTTTTTCCAAGCGGACACCTTTCAACTTTCAGACGCCGAGGGACGCGCATGGACCAGCAAAATGTCTATAAAATGCAACTCCTTCAACATAAGGGTTTACAACGGGACGTTGGCTAAACAGCTGTGTGGCGGCGCAGCGAAGTGGCAAGTGACCAAAGACCGCTGCTATTACGTCTACCTCCCACCTACGAATAACAAGACGCTGAGTGTTAATTTCTTGTCAAACCAATCCTTCGTTCCTAAGCTTATTCACGAAAATTTTGAGGCAAAATTGGTTCGTCGGAATGGCGAGGTGGTTCTTGTGGAGGACGAGAGGTGTAACAGATGCAAACCCCTGTATGGTGAAGACAATGTCCTGCGCTTCCCTTTGCTCGAGAGCAGCCAGGTAAGATCTCGATAACTGTCTTCTTGTAAGTCTATTAGCCAACGCCTTTTCCCTCTTGATGAAACAGGAAAAACCCTCCTGGGAGCAAAGCCCTCCTTCGGAACATGCAAACTTTTGCTACTAATGTATCGCAATTCTGTGACGACATTTTACCATTTCGTCGAGCAATAGACTCACAGCTTCCGCACTCCCTCACAGATGGCGGGGAAGGCGTTTCCTCGTGCGGTGACGGTGTGTTCGTTGTCAGGAGAATCGTTCATCGTCAGTGTGCCCCAGACACAGGAGGGTGAGTTCGGTGTATGTGTGTGTACATATATAGACAGACAAATAGACAGATAAACAGGTAGATAGGAAGATTTAAATATGAATATATATATATATATATATATATATATATATATATATATATATATATATATATATATATATATATATATATATATATATATATATATATATATATATATATATATATATATATATTCATATACATATATGTGTGTGTGTGTGTGTGTATTATGTATGTATTTATGTATAATTATTTTTCAGTTTTACCTCAAGAATCATCACCTAACCTATATATATATGTGACGGCTGCAGCTGCGCTGCTTGTGCTCATATTAGCATTTGCATCAATAACAAAGTTTTACCAACGTAACGAAAATAAGGTAAGTAGAGTTCCCCTTCACCAAGCGTCTTTACGTGTGTATAGACCTATCGAAAATAAGAAATAAGAAACCAGATTGATTCAGAGAGTCCATGTAGCTCATTATCCAGCTTCCAGATCCGCCTGTCGAGGAGGAACAAGACGAAGGACTTGCTACAGGCTGTGCTGAGGAACTTGGTCTGCCCATCGAAGCCCTTTACTTTAACCCATCGTTCCATCCGGGAATTAGCCACCAGACTTTGCCTTACCCTGTCTTGTTCGGCGGAAATCTCGCCCCACAAGAACGTGACATAGATTCCGCCTCGTGTTCTTGCCAGACAGGACGAAGGCGGAGCAAACGAGGTCCGAACGGAACGCCGAGGGCAAGCGAGACGCTACCCATTCCCGGTTCAGAATGCGGTCCAGATCCCGTTCAGCCAATCTTAGCTGCTAGCCCGGTCGACGTCCTCGTGAATCCCGGTCCGAGGCAGAGTTGCGTGTCGTTCCCGGTCACAGTGCAAGGGCAGCCTTTCGGAGAGGACTACTACGACGAGATGGTTCCCTTGGCCAACCTCCGGCCGCCGTCGAAGTCGTTTGGTAATACTGTGTGGCTGCTTTCTCTTGTTCTTTTTTATCCGCCTCTCTGTTGAGTGGTATTTTAGGTGCCTCACTGTGAAGTTGCTTGTTTAAATCTTACTTGTGTTGTGTCACCGTATGCGTATGCTTGTGTGTGTTTGTCTGAGGGTGTATGTGTGTGTGTGTGTTGCCCATCGAAGCCCTTTACTTTAACCCATCGTTCCATCCGGGAATTAGCCACCAGACTTTGCCTTACCCTGTCTTGTTCGGCGGAAATCTCG